AATTTGAAGTTTAAAAATCTTATATGAAACGATTATAAAAAATTATCAAATTTTAAATTGTAACTCCTCTGAAAGTTAAATATTAACTAGCTTAAAAAATTTGCTCGATTACTCAATAGAACCTGTTATTTTAAACTAATAGAGTTTTTTTTATTAATTTTAAGAATTTTTAGTAATATTAATAATTTTCGTTAAAATTTATAGAAATTTACTATAGATCAACGTATTTGTTACACGAAAAAATTTATACGTATATTCGATTTTTATACGTATCTGGTATGGGACTATACCAGATACATATATCTGATATATTTGATTTATATAACGATAAATAACCGTAATTCTGATGTAAACCACCATAATGATGTCATTTTAGGTATAAAACTGATATAAAAGAAATTCTCGTGATTTTCATTATATAAAAGCATGTTCCATAAATTTCTTTTCCTTAAGCAATGAAAGAAAAAAAAAAAATCTTTTATTACTGATTAAATTAATATTTTTACAAATCCATGAGTGATTCAACTCAATACACGATTTTGCTTGCTGCTGAAGAATCAGAAGTATCATACAAAGCGATTAGCTACGCGTTCGATCTATGTTCAAGATTAAATACACCTTATAGTTTAGAAATCGTCTACGTCATTGCACTGAATCCAGAAACCAATGTCCCGTTTTTGTGAGTTTGACGCGTTGCTAATTCTTAAAAATGCAAACATACTAATATAAGAATTTCGATAGGCATAATTTGGATAAAGCCAACAACCTTGATATCCTTTTGGACGCAAAGAAACCTATATCTAAGGTTATGGAACGTTTGAAGCAATGTGAAAACATTTATGTAAGCGATCTTTGTTCAAGAGTACCCGTCAAGAAATTTCTAATAAATTACTCGATTAATCGGGTAATTTTATTATAACTATATAATACCATTTTCTACCCGGGTACAATCTCTTTTCGAGAGTAATTAATTCATTATCAATTACTGTATATTAATTTATATTAATATTGTTAATGGGAAATACTTAGCCGAATGTTAAATATAATTTTAAAGAACTCGAAGGTCATGGAGTAGTTGGAAAGATTTTAAAAGATTATGTTGAAAATCATAAGCCCGATTTAAATTTATTAGTCGTTGGATCAAGAGAACTCGATGGGCTACAAAAGGTTAATTATTTTCAGAATAGAAATAAGTTCTATTTTTTTTTTTCATTAGTACTCATTATAATTTTTTATTTATTATTAAGATTGTCTTGAGTTCTACTAGTGATTATCTGGTTAAAAATCTGCGATGTCCTGTTACAATTGTTAAGCCATAATGTATCTTTCACATTTATTAGCATTTTTTATAAATATACTATAATACGAGGTTACCAATGAATTAATGATATAAGAGTATTCTGTAATGTTTAAAAAATGTCAGGATCATTAACTAATTTACCAACGAGTTGATATTTTCCAGCAAAATGACCGTGCCAGTCATTAAGACTATCAATTTCATCTCTGGTTAAATCTTCGAGGGTATCTAATGGTTGATCAATGGGTGTAAGTACGTCCATATCGAATGAATTTTTTGCTAGACCACGGGAAGCATCACGACCCGCAAAGTTGCCATAGGGGCCATCTATTAAATTTATAAATAAATTTATTATTCATAATAATAATAACAATGAAATAGTTCTTCGCAAGTATTTTGCTTACCTGGTCCGTAGAAACTTCGACCTTTGGTAACATCATAAACATTACCACAAACTCCCATATAAATCTTTGTTTGTTGTGTTCTACCGTCAAACTCTCGTAGTTGTTTTGGCGTATATTCTCGAAATACTGTAGTTTCTGTATGTCTTGCAATTGGCAAATTATATGGTACTGGTCTTAGATAGGAGTAAATAACGTAAATTAAAAATCCTGATAAAAACCAGTTTAAAGGATTTTCTTGAAACTGAATTAACAGTGTTTCTTGTAGAGACATGTTAACGTTTAATCTTGATTAGTAAGCTTGGGAATTTTAAAGTCTAAGGAAATAACGAAAAGGCAACTGTGGTGGCTAAAAATTTCATCCGGTCTTGTAGGTTTGTCCGGTCTTTCATTAACCTATTATTATATTTCACATGACCGCATATCATCCTCATACTGTAGTAAATCGCATAATATATTTGGCTCCATTTATTTGTTTCACGCTTAATTAACCTTTTTTTATTTTTGGAAAGTGTAATTTCTTTCGTCGATTTGAATTCGGAATTTGCTGTGGCTTATCATACAATGGACTGATAAGATTTCAGCCTTACGGGAATGAAAATATTTAGAAAACTAATAAGCCGGTTTGTTTCAATCTTGTTTCCCATTACTATTACATCGCCGCAAACACTTCTGCATCACTTTCGTTATTGTTATTTGAAATAATCGATTTTTTGCCGGCTGTGTCTTAATACTGGGATCGTTTCATCGGTCTAAACTTTTCTAAGTCTTTAAATCAAATCGATTTTCAAAAAAAATCACTTATTAAATTTATAAATCACTTTTATTTGTTAAAGTGACACAACAGCTCAATCATATAACATTTGTATCAAAAATGCAAAAAGAGCAACTAAGCAAATTATCTTGTCCATAAACGTTCTGAAGGACTTATCTTCATTTTCTGTGTTGCCGCTCTCCGTAAACTTATTTAAACCAATCTCTTGAGTTCGTGGACTGTTATTCTTCTTCGCTGATTATATGACATTACTAACTGTACCTTAAAGGATTGGGACAATGAGGTCGCACGGACACGCATTCATTGTGCGTCCTTTTTTACTCTGGACTCTTGTCTTTTTATCTTTATTATTTATTTTTACGTACGCAAAATCAAAACTTGACTCTAAAGAACTCGTCCAATTTACTCCTCCTAACTTCTCAAGATTAGTGAGAGTTGTTAATGCTCTTCCACCAAAACTTGACCTTAGTCCGATAAATTTAGTCCTTATTTCTACACTGGATGGCAACCTGCACGGTGTCGACCGGTATACTGGCCAAGTGTTATGGAGTTTAGAGGGTGCTGTTGAAGGTTCTTTGATTAAAACATTTACGCGTTCTTCGACTAAGCAGCAAAACGTAACTGGCCAAGATGAGTTTGAATATGATGGCCTATTTGATGATAATGATAATAGTCGAATGATCGACGATTCTCAACTCACAAAGTTAAATGGTGATCTCGAAGAAGAAGAAGATCCCGATCTTGAAATCACCTACATCGTTGAACCCAATAATGATGGTATCTTATATATGTTCTCTCCAAAGACCGGTCTTCAGGTAACGTCAATTATTTTATCACAATGGTGATGTCATTCGTGGTTCATGTTGTTATTAGGGTATATGTGGATTTACTTTTCCTTTATTTATTCTACCTATATTGTTGATAAATAATCTGGTCTAATGGAAATATTATTATTTTAATATTATTAGAGATTTCCTCAGACAGTCAAACAATTGGTCATGAATTCTCCGTTTCGGTCTGTTGATGGTAAAGTATTCATTGTCGGCAGCAAGTCTACAAAGTTTTTTGCCATCGATCCTGCTACCGGGAAGATTCTCCAATCGTTCAACAGCGATAATGAATTAGAAAATGAATGTCCGTCTACGGGTTCACTTCCCCGAGATGCTTTGTATATGGGCATGAATGGTACATATATTATATATATTATATATATATATATAAGTAATAATACGAACATATTTATTAATTTAAATATAATAATTCAATTATTTTATAACTTGTTTTTTAAAAAATCATTTTAGCGTATAAAATTTCAATTTATAATGAACGTGGTAAACCAAAATGGAACCTCACCTATACTGAATATGTCCCTCATAGCTTTGACGCCAACATTGAGTTGATATACAATACTTCTCCTGATGGTCATTACATTTCTTCTACTCATAATGGTGAAGTTCTTTCAACTGACTCTAAAAATGGTAAGCCTTCTATTTATTTTGGTTTAATGAAACAATTAGATAACTAACTGTATAATTAATATTAATTATTTATTATATTTATTATATTTATTTATTATTTTCGTTTTAACAATTTTGCATTATATGCGACAAAAAAGGTGAACATAATTGGTATCAACAATTTTCTTCACCGGCTGTCGGAATTTTTGACGTATTGGCATCAAAGGAATTGTCAAGTGGTCTTCATATCGTGAGACAACCAAGACCTACTATTGCCCATTATAATCATCTACCGCAACAAAAACCTTCTCAATTATCTGCGTATGTTGGAAACATTGATGGTACTTTGTTTGTCATGTCGGTTGAAAACTATCCGTTAACCCAGTCTATGCCATTTGGTATATCTGGCAATATGGATGATGAAAATAAGGTTCCCGAAAATAACGAACGTTGTCATCCTGGTTCTTCAATATATCCAAAGTGTTTAGTTGGAAACCACATGATGACCACTTTTGAGCAAACAGTACAGGTCATTGATCCTCCATTAAAGGACAACACAACTCGAATTCCCATGATTTCTACCAAACCTCAGATTACAGCGCAGGTCGGTATATTTTGGGCCATGACTATCATCACGGTCATCCTCGGAATCATTTATTGGAACAAAAACCGGGGAAATGGGTTCAAATTTTTATTAGAATATAGAAAACGATTTGGATCTTTATTTGAAAATAAATTTATGGGTTTCTTTAAACGAAGTCCCCAGCGTGATTCACTTGCTACGAAGCCTGGTGGAAAAAAGGATTCTCCGAAGAAGAATAAGAAACGTGGAAAATCAACCGTAGTAACAAAGTCAACAGTAGTAATAAAGAAGTCGGATGTAAAAGATGATGAAAAAATGAATAAATTACCTTTGGTGAAAGGTGCGCCAGCAAAAGAATTGTTGCCGATAGTTGATAATGTTAGTGTTCTTCTCGCAGGAAATCCAGGAAATTCTAATCTGGATAATTGTGTCGTACCTGCGATCACGAATCATGTTACCACCATCGTTTCGAACACTGTTAACGGTGAATTAAAGTTGAATTCATTGGTGGTTACGGATATAATTTTAGGTAATTAAAATTTATTTTAAATTATTTTAAAATAAATTCGCCTATTATTATTACATTGCTAATACATTATTACCTCTTTATTAAGGTTATGGAAGCCATGGGACTATTGTGTACAAAGGGTCCTTTGAAGGTCGTGATGTTGCTGTGAAAAGACTTTTACTAGATTTTTATGAAATTGCCTATCATGAAGTATCATTATTACAAGAAAGTGATGATCATCCAAATGTTATTCGTTATTTTTGTAAAGAGCAATGTGATCGATTTTTATATATTGCTCTTGAACTTTGTCCCGCTTCATTGTATGATTTAATCGAACGAGGCTCAACATTTCAGCATGCACATTTATTAGCATCGTTACATCCTCCTTCCAAAATTCTTTACCAGATAGTCGCGGGTTTGCATCATTTACATTCAATGAAAATAGTACATCGTGATATTAAACCACAAAATATATTAATTGCCCCATCAAAAAATAAAAAAATTATAAAAGACGGTGTTTCACAAGCATCTGTTAGAGTATTAATATCAGATTTTGGTTTATGTAAAAAGCTGGATGGTGAATCTAGTAGTTTTCATAATACAACAAACAATATAGGTGGAACCATTGGTTGGCGAGCACCAGAATTATTATCACCACCATCACTAGATGGGACAAATAATGGTACAGAGGAAGTTTGGACATCAGTAGATCGTCTAAATGATAATTCTTTCACATCATCGTCATCAGGCTCAGATCACGATAATGGCCAGCCGCGAAGAATAACAAAGTCTATAGATATATTTTCAGCTGGTTGTTTATTTTATTATGTACTTTCTGGGGGTGACCATCCGTTCGGTGATCGATATTCGAGAGAGATAAATATTTTGAAAGGAGTTTATGAGTTGAACAAGTTAGATGGAATGGGTGAAGAAGGTATTGAAGCTAGAGATTTAATTGAAAGGATGATTGAACGTGATCCTAAGAAAAGGTAATTAATATTATTAACAGAGTGGTCTTGACTTAATTTACTGCAATATTAATATCAATGAAAACATAATATTATAATTATTTATTGTTTACTCATCTATACTACAGGCCGAAAGCGGGAACAGTGATGATACATCCATATTTTTGGTCACCATCAAAAAGGCTTTCATTTTTACAAGATGCTTCAGATAGATTTGAAATAGAAGAAAGAGATCCACCGTCACAACTCCTACAACGATTAGAGCAAGGAGTTGGAAAAGTTATAGGTTCAGATTGGCATAAAAGGATCGATAAAGTATTTATAGAGAATTTAGGAAAATATCGAAAGTATGATGGAACCAAGATTAGAGATTTATTGAGAGCTTTGAGAAATAAGGTATATAAGCATTATTTTATTTACTTTCTTTTTTTGGAAATGGAAGTTATAAACATATTTATGACAAAAATCTCCCTAAACAGAAACACCATTATCAAGATCTACCAGAACAAGTAAAAAGAGCATTAGGTCAAATACCTGATGGATTTTTACTTTATTTCACGTCTAGATTTCCCAACTTGATGTTACATGTATATTATGTTATTGCGGAATTCGAAAATTTGAGGAATGAAAGTATATTCAAGCATTATTTTGAAATACCTGGTGAAATGTGAAATATATTATTAAAAACTCAACCGAGTTTAGGGAATTGATATATACGCAAGTAAAAAAAAAAAAGAAAAAAAAAAAAAAAACCAAAAAAAAAAAAAAAGTATTTAAAACTTGATGATATTTATTTAGTTGGATGAGAATGGATCTATGGGTCTTTGAATTCTAACTTTATAATTTTGTTATTTTGTCATCATAATTATTATTGTATTTGACATTTCTTGTGTTAGATTTTAGCGGAACAATTATGCTATTTGTCATTAAATTGACAGATGGTTATATGATCAGTAGGATGAAAATTTATTATATATATTTATTATTTATTATATACTAAAATTGGATGGGTTGGAATAATCGACAATGGGCACAACTATCTGTTTCATCAGCCCGTAGCCAGCTTGAGGCTGCAAAGATGAAGGTAATGGTTATCCGTGTAAACCATGATGACATTCATATCAACAAGAACAATAGTAGGAAATTATAATTTCGTGACTAGGTAGTTTATCAAAATTATAATACGGGTATATGAAAAGAATTTATTATTGGTAATAAGGTATTTATTTTACGTATCATTAAAAAAAAACAACGTTGAAACAATGGACGGAAGGAGGAGGGATGGGGACAGATGGCCCTATTTATATTTAGGATAGTGCATCTCTGTCTTTTGGAATTTGGTAATTAACTCCGATTATGCTCGGTTGATGCTACACAATGCAGAGTGTGCATAAATATAAAAACATCTTTTATACAAAAAGCAAAAACTCAATGTTTTTTTTTCTTTGTATCGATACAAAAAAAAAAAAATAAAGATATAAAATTTGTCAAATTTTAAAGTCTATTTTAAATTTATTATGTGAAAGATTGAAATTTTCTTGGAATAATTTTAATTGTTGTTATAGCATGATTAAGTCACTTTCCCTTTTGGTATATTATCTATGACAGTAATGCACGCACGTATGATGTCGACAGAAAAGCCAAAATCAATAAGACAACGAAACATTGAAGAGTATAACAAAATATTCGTTTGTAAATAAATTTAAATAAAGGCTATGATTCTTTATCTTTTATTGAATGCAATTTAGATATTAGGCCATACAAACTTAATAAATTGGTTCTCATAACCCGGCCGGGTCAAATTTTGCAAAACTTTGAAAAAAAATTT